AACAAGACGATGCTGATCGGAAAGTACGGCAAGGCGTAAAGCGTCGTTCTAGCAACTTCATTTTTCAATATGTTGCTGCTGAATAGATCGAATTCCAGATTTTCATGCTCTGACTTAACCTCCCTAAGGTACTCTTCAACACTCATCTCAAATGCAGTTTCTACGCCTTTAAGACCGTATGTTGGGTACGTATAAATGAGGTGAACGAGTTCTACCTTAGAAATAGTGTAGTTCTCTAGATGTTTGGTGACCCCTCCAAGTGTTCCTCCAAGATATATGTAGTTATCGAACACTTTTGAAACAGGATAAGATATATTAACATCTGATCTGGACATGTACTTCGGGTTAAAGAACACATCAGCTAGCAGCTGAATCGCCTGATTGCTTTCGCCACATCTGGACATTTTCGCGCAGTAAGCTTCAGCAAAGTTTTGCCGCTTTCCATCTAGATCGATAGTTAGATTATTCAAAATATGGTTGTTAATGCTTGTAATGATGTCGATGTTGGATCTTGTCATCAGATCGCCACGGTTTTGCTGTGTTATTATGATGAACAGAGCTGAGTTGTCGCTGTTATTCTGTGCAGAAAAAGCGCTTACGATCCGATGCTCTTCGATGGAAGGCGACCCCGGTGGCGAGTACAGTTCCCTCATGTCGTCGACTACTTTCATGCGGAAAACGCCGAAGCACAATATGACTGTGAGAACTATTGGCGCGATCAGGAAAAACCATGGGTACGTTCCGACCAGTTCTCCATAGTGCAAGAACATAAGATCCAAATAGCAACCCTTTTTCAGCAGTCTGAAGAAGCGGAAAAGTTTTGGTTCCACCTGTGACCATCGTTTCTCGGCGATGCCCAGTTTAAAGTGCTCTGCAAATGTCGAAACCTTCCAACGCAGACGATCGGTGCTTTTCATCGTTGCAACCACTGTTGCAGATATAGACCGAAAACGATCGAACAGCCGGTTGACCAATTACGAAGTGCTTAGCAGTCTATCCACGTATGGTAGACGGCGTACAACAAGATGGCTGCAATATCCAAATGTGATGTAAAACTGAAAATTTGTGTCCAGCGCCACCTGCAGATCCGGTTCTCGTTGTGTCACGTACGCTAACTAAAATGATCAATAGATTATAAATGGATCGCTAGTCGTGGGAACTAGCGCCAGAAATTGTCGCTCACTTAACAAGATGAACTTGATTCACGTATCAAACGGCTGACCTGATCCGCGAGTCGATCAACACGATCTTTTTCACGTATAATGACGTGCATCGTCGATACCTCGAGCTGTCGTTCGCCTGAAGATGCATTTCACTCTCAGATTCTAAACGCTTTTTGCATTCCACCATGGAAACTGCAATAATGCGGAAACAGTCATCTTCAGCACGGGTTATCTGTTTGACATAGCTACGGCCGTCCAGTCTCTAATGGCAGAAACACAGACTCAGAATTATATCTGTGTTGTGCTTAGACTCAAAATCGAATACTCATTTTTAGATATCAGACTCAGAATCAAACTTGTGTTGATTTCCTAGCGAGTGACGGCAAAATTTACTGACCTCGTGGAAATGATTTAAGCAGCACACAGTTATCGTTTTTCACTTACCAGGCAACTTGGAACCAAGAAATCTTGCGTACAAAGTCTCAACAGTTAGAAGATGTTAAATGTTATATTCATGTTAATGTTATTTTTAACAATAGTTACCTAGCGAAGGTAATTTGAATGACATCTGTATTACAAATTCGATGTCATCAGGGGTCCGCGGAAAGGTGATGACACTTGACCTGTCGATTGCGCAATGGCCTTGACGGTCAGGCGACAGTAGGTTGCGCCATGTTGGTGTATGTGTCCTCTTGACCGTAAAGGTAAGCCGTACGATCATTTCTGTGGCAAATTATGGTCTGCCCGTGAATGTCAAACTGATGAATGTCACTGTCGCCCATTGCCAGACAACGGTGTCTAGTGCCAGCGACAAGCGCCCGTTCCATCATTGCTTGCAGTCAGCTGCTAGCGCTTTGTCGCCTCACGACA